TGTACCTGCTGTTTTGGTGGGTCTCAGTCTTGTATCTGGCTCAGCACCAGTGCGAGCAGCGAAACGTCCCAGGGCCAGCAGCTCTGCAGGGAGCTCCTCTCTCCTGCAAGTCAGGGACAATGGTCAGAGGTTATTCACAGGAGCACTGTCGGGGTAGGAGATGCTCACCTGTGCCTGCTGTTTTGGTGGGTCTCAGCCTCGTATCTGGCTCAGCACCAGTTCGAGCGGCGAAACGTCCCAGAGCCAGCAGCTCTGCAGGGAGCTCTTCTCTCCTGCAAGTCAGGGACAATGGTCAGAGGTTATTCACAGGAGCACTGTGTCCAGCTCTGGAGTCCTCAGCGCAGGAAGGACATGGACCTGTTGGAACAGATCCAGAGGAGGCCACAAAGGTGATCCGAGGGCTGGAGCCCCTCTGCTGTGAGGACAGGCTGAGAGAGTTGGGGGGGTTCTGCCTGGAGAAGGCTCCAGGGAGACCTTAGAGCCCCTTCCAGTCCCTAAAGGGGCTCCAGGAGAGATGGGGAGGGACCCTTGGTCAGGGAGGGGAGCTATAGGAGGAGGGGGAAGGGTTTGACACTGAAAGAGGGAAGATTTGCATCAGATATTAGGAAGACATTTTTTACTGATTGAGTAGTGAGAGCCTGGCCCAGGTTGCCCAGAGAAGCTGTGGCTATCCCATCCCTGGAGGGGTTCAAGGCCAGGTTGGAGGGGGCTTGGAGCAACCTGGTCTGGTGGGAGGTGTCCCTGCCCAGGGCAGGGGGGTTGGAACTGGATGATCTTTAAGGTCCCTTCCAACTCTAACCATTCTATGATTCAAAGTTTCAGTGCAACTCTTAGAAAGGAATAGCTTTCCTGATTAGATCACCCAAGAATATGAATTGCATGAAGAACAAAAGCAAGAAGTGGCTGTGCCATGGGCCGCTTGTGCACGGAGCTCAGTCTCCTGCTCCATTGACTCTGGCTCTGCAGGGTCAATCCGTGTCACCTGTCTCATAAAATAGCTGAGAGCCACGCACTTGGAGTGCTCTAAATCCCTTATAATCGAGCCCACTTGCCTCCTTCTCATGGTCCTTTGAGGATGCTGTCCAGAGGTGAAGGTGCATCCCATTTAGTGGTCCCAGCAGGGTACGGAGAGGAGCTCTGGAGCCCTGTCACAGCAGGGTTGAGAGGGGGACACTCCAGAAAGCTGGCTGGCCCTGGAGAGCCTGGCACTGCTCCCCGCTGGCATGGCTCATCCCTGCTGGCAGCCAGCGCTGGTCACTGCTCATGCACATGTGCTCCCACCGCTACAAGATGCCTTTGAAAATCCATTAAATCTCATAATGGGTGGTGAGACACCAGCCCAGGTTGCCCAGAGAAGCTGTGGCTGCCCCATCCCTGGAGGGGTTCAAAGCCAGGTCAGTTGGGGCTTTGAGCAACCTGGTCTGGTGGGTGGTGTCCCTGCCCAGGTGTTATCATTTGAGGAACCCACAGCAATTTAATGTCGTTTAGACAATTACTCTTGCACCTGGTGACCTCTCCCCACCTGGGAAGGGCAATTGGGAAAAAACAAGGAAACCTGAAGGTTGACTTATAAGCAGATTTAGTGGAATAAGACTAGATAATTAACATTAATAATACTAAAGAACCATATTGATCCCGATATCAATATAAAATATACAGGATTATACTCAGCCCATCCCATCACATGGAAGCCGTGCCCCCAGCAGGGACAGCCAGTGTGGGACCCTGTGAGTGCTGCGGCTTCGGGAGGAAGGGAAAGGGCTCAGGGCTCCAGCACCGGGGCAAGGAGTTCTCAGGATCCCAGCCACTGAGGGAGAGAGAGAACTTCTCAGAAAACTCTCTAATTTATATTGAATGTGATGTTCATGGTATGAAATAACCCCATCATCCAGCTTGGGTCTTGCTCCTCCTTGTCCCGCACCTGGTTAGGCTCAGAAGCACCGAGACCTTAAAACCCACATCCCATAGCTGGCTATAAAGTAAATATTTTCACCAATTCAGACACTGGAGTCTTCTAAAAGTACAGTTTTCCCCAGCATTAGAAAAGAAGTGATTCCTGTGTCCTGTTAGGTCATCCTGCCCCTCTGCTCTGCCCTGGGGAGGCCCCAGCTGGAGCACTGGGTCCTGTTTTGGGCTCCCCAGTTCCAGAAGGACAAGGAACTGCTGGAGAGGGGACAGCAGAGGGCTACAGAGATGATGAGGGGCCTGGAGCATAGAATTGTAGAATTGTCTAGAATGGAAGGGACCTTAAAGATCATCTAGTCCAACTGTCAACCTGACAAAAAAATTAAATAAGAAATAAGCAATAAAAAATCACTACACCATATTCCTGAGGACCATCTCAACCCATCTTTTGAACACCTCCAGGGATGGTGCCTCAACCACTTTCCTGAGCAGCCAGGCTGAGAGACTTGGGTCTTTTTAGTTTGGAGAAGACTGAGGGGGGATCTGATCAACACCTATAAATACTTCAAGGGTGGGTGTCAAGAGGATGGGGTCTTTTTTCAGTGGTGCCCAGGGACAGGACAGGAGGAAATGGGCACAAACTTCAATAGAAGAAGTTCCACCTAAGCATGAGGAGGAACTTCTTTCCTGTGAGGGTGGCAGAGCCCTGGCAGAGGCTGCCCAGGGAGGTGGTGGAGTCTCCTTCTCTGGAGACATTCAAACCCCCCCTGGACACGTTCCTGTGGGATCTTCTCTGGGTGGCCCCGCTCTGGCAGGGGGTTGGAGGAGCTGATCTCCAGAGGTCCCTCCCAACCCCATATCGCTCTGTATCGCTCAGACCAGGACCCCACGGCGGAGGGGCTGAAACGAGGTGATCTTTATGCTCCCTCCCCACTCTAAACCCTTCGAGGGGGACCCCGGGGGGGCCACCGGGCCTGGTCCCGGGGCGAGCGGGGCGGGGAGGAGCCGGCGGGGAG